AGAGCTCATTGACGCTTCATACACCCTTATACGAGTGTTTATTGAGGATCACCGTACATTGGACCTTAATGCGGCAATAGGAAATATCATTCTGATGCCTAGCATCACTTCTCTAAACGACGGGTCATGGGAAATCCTTGTCCGGAAAGTCTACCTCCCGACTCTGCAGCGCAGGCTCCATAAGATACACATTCGCTTTACTCTGGATTCGGAATACCAACCACTTAAACCTCTTCACCAAGACGTGGAATACAGGGGCCTTGAGAACGCCCGAAGGCTTTACGCCCTTTGGTTTATGGGAAGGGCAATCAAGATTATTCAGAAGTCCTGGACGATTGCACAAATGTACTACGGTCATCTCTTGAAGCTTTACAATGGAAAGATCCGGACTCTATTAAGCGGGATGGGGACAATTGGAGAATCATTTCCTAAGTTCCATGGCGTTACTCGAGGACTTCCTTCTGGAAATGCCTGATCTACAAAGCTGTGAATAAGAATTTTCCCGGCGCTGCCAAGATGTCGAGCAGGCGTATCAGCTTGTATCATATATGCCATTTGTCGATCAAGAGTTCCCTCTACATATAGACTCCGAGCTCCTGAACGACTCTTTAGGTACTGTGGGAATTTCAAAGACGGGGTCAAAAGGGTCATCCTCACTCAGGCACGTGGATGTGTGTTTACGAGAGTGGATTTAGAGGCGTACTCCCAATACGGGATACATTCTTTGAGTATATACTCATGGGTGTACAAAGCCACTAACCAATGTTAGATGTAGTTCCCAAAATAGAACCATATTTCCTTTGGCCGTATCAACTTATGCGTGTCCAGATATCTTGTCCGAAGACAGCAATAGGGACACCCAAACCCCCCTAGTGATGTTAACTACGCGTTCGCTGCTGTGTGGACCCCGGTGAAGGTGTTTTGGGACGCTGCTTGAAGCGTGGAAGGTAAGCGAGGTGTTTGATCCATTGATGCGGGCTTTCTGACCGTACACCGCTTTATTATCCTTGTCCGCATTGCGCATTATGCTGTAGACAGTCTAGTAAGTCGGGTATACCTGCATTCTAAGACCCTATCTGCTGGTTATTGCATTGCTCGCCCTAGCAATACGTTTACGTCGCAATGCAGTAGCATAGTATAGTTTCATGCATGACGCCGTAGACGGTCTTAAACGTAGCATAACTCGGTCAAGCTCGTCGAAAAAGGAAGAGGCTTGGGTGGCGAAAATGCATCTATTAGACTGGCGCCGTAGATGTTGCCATGATTTGCGCGGCCGCAGGTTGATCGAATAAATATCCCCGACTGTGTCTCGCATTGTATCGAAAAGTCTCTGAACTGTGTCCATTGCTCAGTCTCCTTGAAATCTGTCTTGAGGTCTTATCTCTGCTTGCTGGACTTTCCAAGGCTCTCCAGCAAGATGTCTTCTACAAGACCCCCCTCACTAGGTTCCTTGGAATTGTCCGATCACAAGGAATCGGTATCGGAATTGAGTCATCTTGTTCCGCAATGCTTCGGTGCATCCAGCTCTGCGCCTCAGATGTTGTACAACTTCACTGTTGTGGCCACCGGCCTTGTGGTCGACTCGCGCGTTCTTGGAACTCAGTCTACAACATGTGATAAAGGAAGTAAGATGTTCGTTTGTTTCACTGAGGTCAACTTGAAATACCCGGGGCTTGTGAGGGAGGCAACAATGGGCCTTATATGGCGAAGTTGTTATGGGCGTTGTCATCTACCCTCGCTTCATTTTATGGAACCACCATATATAAGCGGAAAGAGTGTCGAAGTCATTGAATGTCACTGCCTCGATCCACTACTGTTTGATGGGGCCTACCAAGGCTGTCACTTCGAAATGGCCTCGAATGACGGGCATTCTTCGTTCCAGATCGATGTTCGCCTTCGACTGTGCCACCAATTCGAACCCATAAAGAGCCAGAACTCAGAAAGCCAGCCATATCTTAATTTGGCAAGTCTCAGTATTCTGAAGGTGAACAGCACTCCAAGACCTACCGGCATTTTTGCCCCAGCCACTGATCATTACAAAGTTCTGAAAGTGGAAACCCGGAGTCTATTTGCGCGCCTCACGTCCAACAATTCGAGCTTCAGCAATTTGAACGAAATCGGACTCTTCACCAATGTCAATCTGAATAAATCATACCCTGGGATGCGGGTTGTCCTTTTCCGTGCCAGTTACTCGCAGACTATTGGAGAACCGGACGGTGCACGTCGTGTGATATTGCCGGATAAGCCCAAAATTTTCAACCCTCGACTTCATTCACATCAACAGAGCTATCGGACCTGGGCTGCAGATGAGAAGAATTCGGCGAAACCAGACCCGTGGCAAACGACAACACTACCTGGTAGCCGTGAGACCTATACTCAGGCATTCAGAATGTTTACGGGAGGCTACTACCATGCCCTTTTCTTCAGGGAAAATGGGTATGCCGGTATTATTTCAGATATTCAGTACATGTGTGTGATTCTCTTCCCAGAATCATAGATCTTGCAATTGATACATGTCAATGATGATGAACCAGGCCCTGTTGTGGGACACGTGAACGGGAAGCCTTTGAAGTGTCAGTGGCCGGAGGATGACAGTGGCAATCAGCATAACCAACACTTCGAGGATATTGAGAACATTGGCCCAGGCCAGAGTTTGGTAGCCCTTGGCGTGGGGAGCGCCCGGATTTTTTACTAGTACCTCCCAGGATTTCTTACCTAGCGACCTAATGGCATCGGGATAGATTTTATCAACTTTCTAGTTACTTAATGGTGCTAGTAGTCTGTGTACTTGAACTGAGTGCCCATAACCATCAGAACCAGGAAGGTCTTTTTGCGGTCAAGAATACAGGTTTCACGATTGCAGATGACTGTGTTGTAGAGTGGTCGATTTTTGTCCTAATGTCATGTCGGCGCTCAGAGCCTCCAGGGATACTGTTGGTTACGGCCGTGGACGGCCTTAGCTAAATTGCACCGGAAAAGATCACGAGTTGCTAAATAGCATTCGACAGTATCGAATTGTAGTGCTACTTTTATCGCTAGCACTCCATTATCAAGATACGAGTAAGAGCCAACGTCAAGAGAATCGCAGAAATACCACCTTCGGATATTTTCTTTCTATCCACCTCATAAACCGTCCTAGATATATAGTCACGCATCTAAGGGATAGTGTATCCTAGCCTATATAAGTGAACCTCCCTTAACTGTAGTGGTGACATTGTCCCAATTGCCTTTATGTTTACAAATTATGGGTGGACTGTCAAACCAAAATTTCAATATGCCATCTTCAATCATCGATTTCAAGCTTGATTCTGCGGACGGAGAACCCATTGCATGGATAACCGACGACGACTGGAAACAGCGCATCTGGACGGAGATCAAATGGATACTTATCCCAGCTCAATATAGGATCGTATTCGGAACAGATAGAGCCGACAAGCTACTTGCTATCATGGCGATAGCTCGTTGCGTCAACGTGAGGCCAGAAGGCCGCCAAGCTTTACACTCGTTGCGTTTGATTGTCTACGCTTGGGTCAGCCTGCCTTACAACGAGAGCCAGAAAAAGTGGGAAGCAAAACCTGTCATCTATGAGGGACCTGTCACGGTCAGGTCTAAGGATGGTCATGTCGACAAGGATGGAGAAGCAATTGAAGGAAAATTACTGACCTGGTTTATCTACGGGGACGGATCCGGGCAGTTTCTTTTCAAATCATATGGGATGAAACAGTTGATTGGTTTCACTGTGGAAAAACTGATATCGGACCCTAAGTTGGTTGAGCTTCTCGAATTGGGGCATGAGCCATGGAAACCTATATTTGTACGCTCATCCAATGGGCTCACTCAAGAGTGTGGTCTCATAGAGCCAGAAGTTGTCCTACCTCTCGTGGTTACTACGGGTCGCGCCTCTTGAATCACACGGCAATCGGTCACGCCCAGTACGTGGGACGATGACACTCGTTCGTTTGCACCGTCAACTTAGCATCAGCACCGGTCGAGAAAGGAGAACATCGTGGGTCAGTGCGCGGACCGTGATAGTTTGAAAAGGGCTGAGTGTCAGCATTGTACTCTACTCGCTTTAGTATATTTGTTTCTTTCATAAAGATTTTAGAGCTCTTCACAGCTTCCTCCAGACCATCTCACCTCCTGCAGTCGACATGACGCCTTCCCATAAAGTCTTATACAAACTGTGACCAAGGCTTCGGGGATGGAAGTTCCGTCGCTATTGTCTAACCGACAGTCGCCCTCCACAGTCGCAGCTGTCAACAGAGGAAGACACAGGTCGTGCCGCAATAAAAGCAGGCACAATAGCTCATACAGAGGTTGCACCACCGCTGAAATCGAGACAAGCCGGATCGCCTCTGTCCGTTCATATAATGGCACCAAAGGAAAGATCAGGTATAGATGTTCGTCAGCATGCCACTAACTATCCAAAGATTCCACACCGCTTCTCTTTTGAACAACTTTAGTTATTGTTGTATGTCACTGCCGGCAATCATGGGCATACCGTTGTTAAAAAGCCATTGAAACAGATAATGCGAAGGGTTCACGAGAGCTGGGTGCGAGGCCGTGAAAAGGTCAGCTAGGAAAGTTTTCGTCTACATACACCTCGATCGTGCCCGGGGCGTGTATATCCACTCGAGAGCAACAACGGCAGCTGCAACTCATCCCTCCAGGGTTCAAGCAACTTACTCCGGTTCAAAGGTCGGGGGATTTCACATCGGCGCAAATTTCTTGGGAGAACAGCATTCATCTTGTCTGTCTCAGTATCGCGGTTACATCTACATACCCAAAGTTTCCAAAATTTTTGGAGCCCGGATGAGGATGATCTTGCCGATATGCTCAGCAGCTCATCCATATATCACTAGGGGTGCGCTTCATTCCGCGGTGCAGGATCTATATTTACTGTTCAACGCACCGGAGCCCACCACGATCAATCCGAATTCGCTTCGAATTCCCAGCACGGCCAGGAAGCGCCCATCAGACGACGATCCGAACAAGAGCGCCAAGGGAGCAGCCTAGACTCTTCCACCCTTCTCGAGATATAAGCACCTGGACGGCATTATTCTCCGCCCACCCGCCAGGTGCTTCGGCTGCTATGCCAACTCAAAGAGGATATTGATGAATACCCCCAAGATTACAGCCGACTTCTGAGTGGCCATGCAAAGTCATCGTTGACCTCCAGTCCCTGGTTCCCAAACAGTCAAAAGCTACTGGGATTGCTCTGCGTTTGATACCCTTGTGATCCCGGCTAGTCAAAAGGATATTATCTAATCACTCGTGGGACGTCACACGAACGGATCAGATGATGAAAAGTTTGACGACATCATGAAAGGAAAAGGACAGAACGTAGTCCTCCTTTTGCAGTATAACTCCGGACCAACGCCGTGTTTCTACAACCAGCTAACCTTTGATGTAAAAGCGGCCCTCCTGGCGTTGGAAAAACTTTGACGGCGGAGGGACTAGTAGAGAAGAGGAAGCTACCTCTCTACAATGTCTGTCACCACTGTGCTCTTTGTAGTCTTTAGTATCTCCTAACTACGCACAGGTGTGCGCCGGAGACCTAGGCACAAATGCCGAAGATCTGGAAAAAGATCTACTCGGAATCATCTCACTCGCCCATAAATGGAAAGCTATTATTCTGATTGACGAGTGTAACGTATATCTTACCGAGCGCTCCCTATAGAATATCTAACGAAACGCCTTAGTATAAGTCTTCCTCCGCCACCTAGAGTACTTCTAAGGCATTATGTTTCTTATAACTAATTGGGTAGCGACATTTAACGCGGCATTTTAAAGTAGAATCCACTTTTCGATTAGATTCGACGATCTAGGTAGAGATACGATAAAAAAGATCTAGAAAACTTTCTTAGGTAAGGTGAAGATAGAGGTGAATATATCAGAAAGGAAGATAGATAGTTTATATGAAAAAACAGTTAACGAAAGGTAAGTAAGACGTATCGATTACTCCCGTCCTATTTTAACGGCCCATTGACTATGATAGACTAGATCAAGAACTTTACACGGATAGGTATAGATTTTGCTTTATGGAGAAACGAGCCTCTTTCTATCAAATACCTAAAAGTCGCTATCGAAGCGAGTGAAGCTTTTCAGGATAAGCATAAGGGGTATGGTGCGACTGAGAGCTTAAGAAGTTATATGGGTGGATCTAAATATAGATTACAACATCTTTTGAGACAATGACTTTTAGTAAGAATTTTATGTTGTGTTTTTCTTGGTATAGGATATAGTTTCAATAATTGGATAGCTTCAGTGAGCGAGTGGTTTCGTGGTAGGGCTGGGTATATAGTTATATCCGCCGCCACTGAATAGTCGTGAAACACCCATACTTAAAGACTATATAATAGGAGCGATAGCCTAATAACAAGGGAATAGCCATAATTCTATTTATAGTTTTTAGAAGGATGCGCTATATAAACGCTCAAGAAAGATTTAGCCTTCGAGGAGAGTAGCTTGCGCGATCTTAAACACGATACCCCGTCCACGTAGAGATGAAAACTAACTGGTCCAGAGAAACGGTACACTCTATGTGATGCTAGTTATGTCTCTGACGAGGAGCAAGACGAGATTATCACGCTCATTGTGAAAGGTTTGACCGGGGCATCGAAGGAGCCTCCTGAGGGAGCTCAAATACCATTTCCGGTCGTTTGGGAGTTGGCGCCACCGGAATTTGCATCGGTGAGGGTGGTAGAGGTTTTGCATAAGGAAGGCACCACGTCACTATAACTGTTGGGCCTTGGCGCTGGATGCTCCTGCATATCTCCATCCCCCAGGCCGTTGTAATCACAATGTTGGTCGGTCCTCGTAGGCAGAGGGTTGACATCTAAGAGCCCAGCGTCTTTCATTTGCTTCGATATCGATTTATAGTTGATCGCCCATAGTGGTGGTTGTTTCCTCCAGGGGCACTTTCCTGGACCTGGAACTGTAGAAGAAACAGATAGAGATGGAATTGTGGACGAGGGTAAGGGTCGCATCGGCGTCACAGACTGAGGTATAGTCCTGGAAGATGGTGTCGGAGATGGTGGCTCGGATTTTCCGGGGCGTGTGAGCGAGGAAGATGCCAATTCCGGCTCCTGTGCGAGTCAGATCCAGCTTCAGGTTTTGAGAGCCACGAGGCCAAAAAGGCCAACCTACACTATCGTCGTCCGAGGTGAGATCAATCACTTCGGCATCGTAGATAGTCTGGCTCGGGAGAACAGTACGGTAATCGTTACATGTCTCGGAAATTTCGATTTCTGGATGTGAGTTGAAAGCAGGTTCATCGGTAGGCAGCCGGGAGGCTTCGTTGCCGCTGATCTGCGACATTGATGCCCTGAATCAAATAATCCGAAGGACTGAAAATCCAACAAGTTTGCTTCTATGTGAAGCGCTTGAACGTGCAAGTCCCACGGTCAAACGAATCGTGATTTCGACTTCCTCGCCGTTCTTGGGAGAAGCCGGAGAAGTAGATGGTGACTGATGACAGAGTGGGAGACCGGAGTCCTTAAATGGTCCCCTTTGAACCTCAACCCTGTGACTGTTGCATCGCCCCCGTCTTCCTCGCTGCGTGATTTTCGAAGCCATTCGGATCCCTCTTCCTCCTTCTCCCACTTTCACTCCCTCTCCCTCTCCTCTCGTGCTAGGCCCGCTGAGTTTGTTATCTATCCCACATGCCCTGAGCGCGAATTTCCCAGGCCCCCAAGAGTCGAGGTGAATCGCCTCGAGTCGATGCACCTTCTTATGTCACGTCTGGGTGTGATTTCAGTTTTCGATCGCAGTCGCGTTGCTGTAGAGGAACACCCATTCCCGCGCCCTGTTACCCGCACACTGCATCTGCTCCCTTGCACTCCCTTAGATACGTGCACGCCGTTTGTAGTAGATTTGTAGGGTGCAGAATCGATGCCGCCCCTTACTTTTCTCGCTTTTAACTCAGCCACCATCCAAACCGCTGTGCGGCCAACTCGCTTCCACGTTTTTGGCAACCATTCTGCCGCCAATAAATGTTGACCTTTGCCCGAAGTCCGTTCTTTAAAGTTCGCGCAACCACGGCATCCCACTGTCTTAGATGCCTGTAGTCCTGTCCGTGAATCATTTCTGCCATTGGTCGACGGACAGGCTTCTCGCTCTGCTCGTAGTAACCGGTGTAGTCTCAATGTTCCGTAGTGTTGTATGTGCACTCCTATCAAGCGGATTGCTGCCGGCTCTGAGAAGGATAGTACCAACACTATCACCGTGCCGGCCAGGGTCCTATACCTGATCCAGTGGAAAGCTTGCTGGACTCCGGAGAGTTATATTATCGACAAAGATCGGATTCCGGCATCACTGGAAGCGGACAAGGATCGAAACCGGCGACGGAGCATACGGTTTGGAGAGTTCGTTCGAAGACAGGAAGAAGGGATATAAGAAGATGATGGTGGTTGTGAATCTAGGATGAGCGAGAGCGTGTGAGGTACTGTGCCGTAAGCACTGGCTATTTGATCTCTGAAGTAGGGTACTATTTTGGGGAAATCGTTTTGGCGTTGGAAAGTAAATTCGAAGTCTGGTTACCTATCTCTCGACAAATATGCTTCCCTTTTCGCCGTCGAGCCGACATACTAAACGTTTAAAGGCGTATCCAGAGGAGCGAGTAACGGCGACGGCCGAAGGATTATTCTTTAGGAGTCCACACGTTGCCTTCTCTTCTCCATCTTAGCGTGTCATCGTTTGGATTGCCGGGGGAGAGGCAGTCCTCGCAAAATAAGCCAATAAGCCGCGGACCTTCCCAAATGAACACACAGTTATGACTGGCATGATAACGACACTTATCGCAATGGCGAAAGGCGTATTCTAGGTGGTATTTGTCGAGGGATGTCTTTGCAAAGTCGCGAAACCCGGCGAATTGATAGCCACCTCTCTCCTGTGCTCGAAGAACCGACAGGGTGACCAAAGGCTCATCTGGAAGCTCCTGTTGGACCGACTTCAGCACCTCCACGAGCTTTGTGGCTTGCTCTGCGGCCAGTGGGGTCGGATCTTCTTCGAAGAGGGTCGGCACACCGCTTATGAGCGCAATATGGGCCAAGAGGTGTCGGGAGCGCTCTGTGTATACTTCGGAAGGGTTGTATGCTAACCGGATCCCCTTGGCGAGCGTCGCGATGGGTTGTTCTTTCATATTGAACTCCAGCACAGGATTCCAGAAAGTCTTCGTCCCGTCTCGTTCGTCCACTAGACCTTGTATCATCCTATAGATATTAGTAATACACATCTAATTGTTGAAGGGGGAAAATACAAAGCGATGTCTTTAATAGACCGTTGAGTGACCAGGTACGGCGAACCCAGGATTCCCCTTCTAGATGTGAAGTCACATAATGGTTGCGGGCATTCAAAGAAGGATGGGCGAATTTGTGTCGTAGCCATCTATTTCCAAACTTGTTATTATTAATGGGACGGTATAGATAGAAGAAAGGAACACGGAGGTCCGTAACACCTGCGATGAACACAAGCACGTCATTATTGTTTCTGACTCCGAGGTTGGAAAAATCTTGTTCCGTCCCGTAGACCCTCTGCTAATCAATTAACTTGTAAGTAAAGCTGACCACATTTCTAAGTAGCGACGGAACTTGTTGTCTCGCGCTGACCCACGATTCACCATGCAGTCTCCACTTTTGAGACATAAACCCTTCCTACTGCCACAGTTCTACGTGGTAAATTATCCTGACTCTCTCGCGCTCTCCCGAAAGGACCGTATTAAGTCGGCCAGAACAGCAAGAATCATGTATATGGTCGATGTAGGGTCAGTCATTGGTCAAGACCGTATCTCCCTCGCAGGTAAATGGTTACGTTAAAGTCTTGGCACGCAACTTTTTTATCACTTCCCGTACCTCGACCACCTCTGACACGGAAATGAATAAATTTTATATGGTATTCTCTAGTAAATCAGTGTGCCAGTTCGTATAACATGGCCCTATGGTACATAAATGCACATTGCAAGTCTTGCAGCCAGTTGCAACGTTTCTACTTCTCCTTCTCGTCTGCACATTTCCATTCCCTGACACCTCGCCTAGGGGTTGACGCTGTCGCTGTTGGCTAGCCCTCAATGGCGCCCCTGCCAGGCATTCCTCACGGTTGTGGCTATTGCGAGCGCCCCAGGCGCAATATGCCCTCTTGTCAAAGGGCGCAGCCTTGTGGTAGGGCCCTCGGCGTAACAGCTCGTTGATTAGGTCATTCTGGAATCTCTCATGAGTGCGATGTCCTCGCATGACAGTCTCGTCCTGTTGCGAGCGCCAAATGATGTAGGCATTTATCAGACAGATATCAATGAGCCAATAGCCAAGTGGTCGCCAGTTACGCTGTTCTTTCTTGCGATGGCAAAGAAGAAATTTGACGAAAGCAAGGAGCTGCAGATCACTATGAGACGATACATGTCGATCATTGTACGCTATGTCGTGATTCTGGTTCTAACCTTCCACATTCCGCGATTCCAAAGATGATTGTCGCTCCGACGGTGCCAGATCGTATGTTGCGGCCCTCTGAGCGAAATCGAAGTAAGCTTCCTGGACAGGTTGACGGCTAACCCAAGATTTCCGGCGTGGAAAGTGATTGGCACCATCTTCGCCGTCACCAGGAACCTCGATGCCTCGACCAAGATCTACGACATCCAAAGCTGTGGGAAAATCGATTTGACGTTCTCCTCAATACCTCGGGTGTGTAGATGGAGTCCTGGCACATGCTAAGTGCCCTGATTGCTTCTTTAATGACGTCATCCGAGTCGTCAAAATATCTCTCGGAAAGCTCCGGCCAATCCAGGCACATGTACGTACAAAGTACACGGAAAATCTCGCTTGGGTGGTATATCATTTGTGCGACGACCTCCACTAAAGGAAAGTGATGTCCAGCCAGCAGGGCTCAACATGATCATTTTGAGACTATGGCTGACTGACAGCCTGCTAGACTTTCGTTTCTCTCCTTAAAACCGTCAGACATCCCCCAACCCGTACCGCTTCGGGCCACACCGTCGGAACCTGTTTCCGTCGCTAGCTGCCACGTCCTTTGCCCATCTGCTCACCTTGGGCCGGTCAGGGAACGCAATGTGATCCCCATTGTTCTTAGAATCCCCTCTATAAAGGCGGGCAGAGACCTGTGGTAAGTTCGTGCCTCCCAACAGATCGAGGACCTTTCCTCTCAGAAGACTCTGATCGCCGACACCAAAAAATCGACATTGACATTACATTCTGCTTTGTATCGGGAAGTGCCAGTGATCAACTGCTGTTGGTGACCCACAATCAGATGCCTGACCACTCTTGAACGTCGCAGTTCTTCCCAATGAGACCAGCTTCCGAATATTTCTCCCCGGCAGAGAGCGTGCGCCTGCGCGATACAACCTCATCTCGGCTATGTCATCGGGACTTGGCACGTTTCACTACCCACGTCGATCCCTACACAGTTCTCGGTCTGTGCCAACTTTACCAGCAGCACCTACGGCTATGGAGTTACCCCATAGTAAGAGGCCGTCGTTACCATCGATTTCTCGTCTTATAGACGCAGTCACTAAGCAGGCTGAAAAAGGTCAGGGTCATATGGGCTCCTTTTCAGCATTATAAACTCAGAGTTATGGGCGCTGACATACCATAGGGAGCGCACAATCGCTAAACTATGATTCAGAACAAATGCTAGGACCAAGCACTGATCGACCGTATACGACAGGAGCTCCAGGAATCGTCCATCCCCTGACACCAGATTCTGGAAGACCTCGTCTTTGGAGACGTTCAGCAGATGTGATGGAACAGAACCCGCCAGTCTGGTGTCCAGCATCACCTTACAGCGAATCCTCGACCGAGTGGTCAGCATACATGAGGCTTACTCAACAAAGACTGTTATTCATGAAGTGCCCTAGGCCGCTTCCTCGTATCATGGCACGGCATCCAGTGGGTGCATCTATGGTACCAACATGGCGACATCATTCTGATCGCTCGACGCACGTAGAGTCGCGTCGGCGGACGCAAGACGGATACTTATGCCCGACATGCAGCAAGCTCTTCTCTCGACCAAGTGGCTTGAAAATCCATATGCATTCGCACACAGGAGAAAAGCGTTACAGGTGCAGACATGAAGGGTGTGGAAAATGCTTCAGTGTAAAAAGTAATATGACACGGCACAACAAACGCAGCCACGATCGCGAAATTGGGTTTTGGCAACCCGAGAGCATCATCCCAGTGTAGTCGACAACACCAAGATAAGAAAGAGGCAGTGCGCGTCAACTCATGCGGTGTTTGGAGGACTAGACGTTTATAACACCCGCTGGGGACCCATACTCATTGAAGTGGCTGATATTGCCTGTTTGGGAGAATTATTACCAAGCACTGGAAGTTTCTACAATTATCGGTGGGATGGCGCGGTATCTATCTCATAATCCGGGTAACAAATACTTACTGTCTGCGCGTGAGGTGGCAAAGAAAGCAACAGTCTCCCTATGAATCGTTCAATCACTTCAGAACTTTCACGGGAGGTTGAGAAGTACGCAATGCATCAGGGGCTGTTAAAACAACACTGACTCTGCCTCGAATGGACCCTCTAACTCCTCCTTCCCTCTCCCTCCACCACCCAGGCGACCACGAAAGATCATCCAAACGAGACACGAGTCTCCTCCTTCGCCGGACAGCGACGCCAGCTACGTACCGTCGACATCTGCGGTGTCTGTTGCTCAGTCAGCTCCAAAATCTGCCGGGGGTGCCTCTACAACCTGAAAACGTGAGCAGCCTTCCGCGACGAGTGCAGCAGGTAGAAAAATCGCCCGTAAAACCGCACACAGCATCATTGAGTGGCGAGGGCGGAGTAAGACGAATGAGGAGTTTGGGGTACTAAAGGACATGATAGCAGCCTGTGAAGGCATGGAAATGCACAGGCTCGCCATCTTGCAAGCGGGCATTGAGTACGTTCGATATCTCGAAAGCTGCGTTGCCCAGCTGAAGACAGAGAATGAGAAGCAGAAAACGATGGGGATGCCCAGAATGCAGATGATTGAAGGTGATGAATTCGGTGATGAAGAGGAAGAGGAGGACGAGGTTGAAGACGTCCCTCCACAGAACAATCCCACCACCGCTCGCGGCGACCGCAATGCTAGATGAGCTGCATCTGAATGGTCACTGAGAGATTCGCGAAAAGCGTCAACAGCCTCATCGAGCACATCGTCATATCCTTCCCCCTATATACTGTCTCAAACGCAATCTCGGACCGACGACCAAGACCATGCTAGGAAACGGCTGGCCCTCCCAGCAGGTGCAGGGTCCTTCTCATCAGCCTCGTCTCAAGTATGCGATAACACCGACCCTGCTCAGCCCAGCCTTAACGCGATACACTTTTCCCCCGACCTCTCTCGCGCTCAAACGAACAATGGCAGCGGTGGCCAATCGACTGGTAACGGCACCATTGCACCTTCAACGTCAGGGTCTTGGACGGCCGTGAATGCCACCACAGATCCCAGCACGAGCATGCCGCCGCTGCCGTCGCCAAAAGCGGCGATCCACCTACCTCTGCCGCATCCGTCGGCGAATCTCCAGCTACCAGCGCCATTCATCACTGCTGACAGCGAGACCAACACCAACTCTCACGGAGCTGTGAGTGATGTGTCAGGGTCGGCAGAAGCGACCGCCAGCGCAGCGTTGATGATGTTGACGAACGATTGGAGAGGTGCTGGCGCTACTGCTGCTGCGTCCGTCGAGCCGAGAGTGGGCACAATGGTGACAGAGGCAAGGGAATAGCGGGAGGGATTTGTTGATCTCGTGAGGAGATGACTCGCTCAGATAGTACTGTACATGAAATTACGGATGCACGTTGCACATAAAGAGGCATTGACAGTTGACCGACATAATTGTAGTCTCCGGATACTGCATCAACATAGCTGTATTTACAGGCGGACGTTTCGTGTCTTGGATGTAGTAGAAAGGTCAGTCTGGCTCAAGTGATGACAATCCTCTACCGCCACCGCCCTGCAGCTTCGCGAAGCATGATCGCGACCCTTTTCTAAAATGAGATTTGGGCAGTTTGTTTTTCCATTATGAAGATCAAACCCATCTAGTTGGCCCGCCTAGTTGCTGCCATCGCTCGCAGCCATCGGCTTCCCTCTTGACCATCCTTTCCTTCTTGCCTTTGATCAAGCGTGACAGGTCTTCCACCGGTAGAGTCAAAGGAAAATCGACGGCCTGGAGAAGTTGGACGCCAGCAGGCACCACACCATCGACGTCAATGCGAACGTGAACGCTCCGGCAGGCTGTGGGTTTCAGGTTAGCCGTGTCGCGATTCAGGAGAGGATCATTGCAAACGTACCACGGTCAATCTCTGGCCTGCGTGGACATTCCCAAGGGCCAGATTCCAGAATGCTCCAGCGCCACAGGCGAAGAAAAAGATCAAAGTGAACAACGTAGAAAAGAAGACGATGTTTGTGCGCAAGGCGCAGACGTTGACCTTACTGCTGTAGTGAGGAAACCGCAGCACAAGGAGCACTGGAATGGCAGGGAAGGAAATTACGTGGAAGGCGTATGCGCGACTGAACGGCATTTTCGAGTAAGGAAATCACGTGGCAGTCCTGAAGTGGCTTCTCAAGACACAAACAACTCGAGGGTATTGTCGGCAATTAGCCATCATCAAGTAGATAAATATGTACTGGGAGTATTAATCTGAGAAAGGAACTGGGATGTTTCTCTCTAGATAACCCCGCCACGTAGGCAGTGTTCTCTTTCTTGGGGTGTTGGAAGTGAGCTGCAAATCCTCAATGGCACTCGCCCACTTGATCAACTCGGCTTCAGCCCAGGCAGTCTGCATGATTGCAAGACCGAAAGGCATGCCGCTGGTGGAACGAACGCCCCCAGGGACCGTGATGACAGGGTAACCAGCCTGGGCGGCAATCTCGTAGCTCTGACCGATATCCGGGGGGACCAAAAGCCCGTTGAGCTTCTTGCCGTTGTAGGTCAGCGCGTCGTGGATGCCCTGGCGGGTTTGGTTTTGGCAGAAGTTCAGGGCTTGCCAGTAGGTTTCGTTTTGGACACCCCCTGTGGCGAGAGACGCCTCAAATCCGTCCTGGCCAGAGTAGAATGCTGGAATGCCCAGAGGCCACGGGTTTCCACCTTCGGTGCCGTCATTGTCGTAATTGTACTGGACGAGGTCCTGGATGGTCTTGATGGGGGTGTTGGTCAGGTCCGAAAGGTACTTGTTGATGTTGTTGTAGAAGTCCACCTTGACGTAGGTATATTCGGATTCGTTAGGGTAGCCTCTGGTCGAACCGTAGTCCCAGTTCCAGCCATCGGGTGAGACAAGGGTCTGGTAGTTTGTGATTTCGGTGTTGTTGATGATGGTAGCGCCGGCTCCTTTGATCAGGTCGATGAGCTCAAGGAGCTGTTGCTGCTGCTCGTCGTCGGCGTAGACCCAGAAACTGTTCCAGGGGAGACCGAAGGTCGCATCCTTCAAGGCGTTCTTCTTAGACAGGAATTGGACGTAACCTCCACTGGGGGTGTGACCTTGCTGGGCCGACGTGTAGTTGTCGAGAGGATCAACGCCATAGATTGCATCCAAGGCGTACGTGGCGTCTCGGACTGTCCTGCCAAAAGCACCCACCGTATCTTGGTGCTCACTCTCGGGAATGACACCTGCGCGAGAGGTCAAACCCACAGTAGGCTTGAGACCAATGATGGAGTTTCGCTCGGCAGGGTTAATGACACTGCCGTCCGTCTCAGTGCCCAAGGCAAATGCGATGACGTTCGCCGCGACAGCGACAGCGCTGCCGGAACTGCTTCCACCAGGGTTGGTGGTCAGGTTGTAGGAGCTTCGGCATTGGCCGCCACGTCCAGAGTAACCTTCAGAGTAGTTGTTGCTTCGCATATCCGCCCACTCGCTCAAGGTGGCTTTGCCGAACAGGACGGCGCCAGCATTACGAAGCTGCGCAACTACATGAGCGTCCCTGGGCACTATGCTGCCGACCAGCGCCCAACTGCCAGCTGTTGTGTCCATCTTGTCTTTGGACGCAATGTTGTCTTTGACAATAAAAGGGATGCCATGGAGCGGACCTCGGAACTTTCCTTGTTTCCTTTCCTGATCGAGGGATTGGGCAATCGATAGAGCATCGGGATTGAACTCGAGAATGGAACTGCGAGGTCGGTCAGTGGGTGACGATCGCAGCTCAACATGATCTACTCACTTAATGTATCCTTGGGTCTGGTATGCTCTTTCAAGATAGCAGATGACGAGCTGCTGGGAAGTCAAGGTGCCCTTTTTCATGGCAGCTTGCATCTGGTCGATGGTCGCCTCTTCCAGCTTGAAAGAGCCGCATGGCGGCATATGAAACAGCTCTGTCGTGTTCACATTTTGCAGCAGAGGGAAGAACAACGAATTGGAGATGGTCGCCTGTGCCTGCGCAACAGAGACGGCAAGACCGAGCGCGCATGCGACACCAGCGAAAGCTCTCATCGTGGCGGCAGGGCTGAGGGCTTCGTTTAATTGAACTCGAGTCTACTGCAGCTGACAGGGCGACAACTTTGAAACAAAGGTCTTCATGGAATCTTGCGGGCCCCGAGCGGCCACAACAAGGGCTTGATCGGCACGTGCAGCTCCCTAGACAGTCCAAGCTTGAGAGGATCGCCAAATCTCTTGTGAAGCAACGGGCAACCCTGTCTAGCTCGAGAAGAGTTTTCTCTATTTGAGCTAACTAGAACGCCTATTGCTCCCCTTCCAGGCCTATGTATGCTACAGTAATTATGCTCAGTGATTACTCGTCCGATGTCTCAGACCTAGCTAGCTTTACGAGAGCATCACCCGAGTTTGGGGTTTGACTTCATGCTGAGCCTGTCTGTCGCGTTGAGCCGACGACCACGGACCATCAGTCAGAGGCCAAATCGACCTAGTTTAGGCACGCTTGGGCCTAGTTAGGGGCATTTGGCGAGCGAAACTTGGCGATAAGTGCCGACCTGAATCAACGACAAGACATACCCCCAAGACGATCTAACTTACTGCTGAATGGCGGAGTAGCATCGTCCAGACTTTACTCCGCTGAAGAATTGTACCATAGTACATTGCTATCGGCAATTCTTCCATACAATGCCAGAGGTTAGAACAGGTTTTGTTGCGGCGGCAGGCAAGTACTGGATGGTACGCACTACTCAAAAACAAGCGAGCTGGCTGTGTCGCTCCTCTGTGATTCGATCTGGCTTCTAGAGTGCAATGGTAGGTGGGATAATCGATTGCACCTGAACTCATCTGTTCCGTGTGCTTCGGTGCTTAAACACAGGCACGGCACAAGACATTTCGCACTTACCACAGTAAGTTCCCACCACCTTTGGAGCTTATCAGCTGTTGAGTGACCCGGCGTTCATCAATTCTGCCAAGATCGACATAACCCCTCCAGTGTCGGGCCATCCTTCCAATGGTGCTCAAGCCTCCCAGCAAATCCATGTTACTTTTAGAGCTGCAGTAGCGCCAAACCATCTTGTCCTCTTGGGAAGGTCCTTTCGCTAGGAAGCTGTTGCCAGCTTGCGTGGCAAGGACTATGGTACTTCGGATGTCCAAGCCCATCCATGACCCTGCTTCTTCGGCAGATTCCGCAGATAAGTTTAGGAGGGGAGACACCCGAAAAGGGCCATAGTCTCATCATCCCTTTCACGATCTCAGTCGTCCCTTCTTCTCGATCGAATTCGACGGCGAAGATGGGTTCTAGTGACGTAGACAACGCAATCGCGGCGGGACAGGTGCCTGCCGGTATCACTGCCGCTTACCTCAAAGAAAGCCGGGACGAAAGCTCCATAATCGCCATTCTTTTTGTCTGTTGCTTGACTGTGCTGGTTGTCGCCTCACGATGCGCCTCTCGACTCTTGGTTGTCAAGTTCTTCGGTTGTGATGATGCTCTTGCTGTCGTTGGCCTGGTACGTAGCACACGAGCTGCCTGAAGCAAGCTTGCTAACCGAAGAGTCAGGCGCTGCTGTTGGCTTTTGTGGTTCTTTGCGTTATCCTCATCAAGCTTGGCTCCGGTCGTCACTATGACTACATTCAATATGTGATGCCGCTCAGCAGAGTCAAAGTGACTGAAACTCTCGACTTCGCCGCCCACATCATTTATACGACGGCACTATTCGCATGTCGATTCTCCGGTCTACTGTTCTTTCACAGGCTATGCGCTCAGAGCAGACGCTTCGTTATCACCATAAGATGCGCCGCAGCGCTTCTGTTCCTCGCCTACATCCCGCAGCTCATCCTCCTCATTCTTCACTGCCTGCCTGTCACCAGCCTCTGGCCCTACGCATGGCAACCTGGAGTTGATGACTACACCTGCTTGGCTTGGGGTGTGGTGTACGTCACGAATTCTGGAATATCCCTGGTCTGCGACATGCTACTTTTCGGCATACCGCTAGCCATCATCCGATTTGTGAAACTCTCGAGAAAGAGGAAGATCGGGCTTGCTCTCATCTTCTTCCCCGGTCTGCTGTACGTTGAACAACCTCGCCTAGTACTTACTTGCCACTCACTAATAATGACAGTGTTATCGGCATCTCGATCGCTCGTCTTATTCTTGTGGTCCAAGGGCAATGGGATCCGGATGAGTCCTGGACCTACGACCCTATGCTTGCCATCGAAGTTGCCGAGATTGGAGGGACCTTGATTGCACTGTCTTTCCCCGGCCTGAAGCCGTTGTTCGACCGCCTAATCAGCAAACGATCGGGAGGCACGAATGCATTGTCTACCTTTCGCAGCGGAGCCGACTCTAGCCATGTCAAGCAACCGCACGGAGCGTCCGGTAACGGAGAGTTCGGGTGGGAGATCCGGGGCGGAGGAGATGGCGCAAATAGCAAAGACAACGAGGACAGCTCCAGCACCAACTCGATTATCCGCGGAGTACAGTTTGTGGTGGAAGAGTCGGACTGCATCCCCCTGAAGGAAATTATGCACTCCAAGTCGATATCAGAGTGATGTTCTTACCTCGACAAGCACAAGCTCGATTGGGCTGGCGGAATGGCACGTCCAACGGTCGCGCCGGACCGACACGGAAAGACGCTCGCAGGAGTAGGTGGATTCAGGGCCGCACAGGACGTGCACGAAGGTTATATACGAATCGGAACGGGACATGGATATGACTGTGTGATACGTGTAATCTTCGTTTGGCTTCTCTTTGCACCGGAGGATTAGCATTTCACTAGTTGGCACTGTGCACGAGGCAATGAACAGTCTATGGCACGACCTTAATGAATGGATAGTGAGGACTAACCTGTACGAGCACTTCAGCACTCCTTAGAAAGCCTCTCGCCTATTTCTTATCGCTATCACTACCTAAGTAGATCATCTTTAGTTTAGGCTCTAGTTAAGACTGCCTGGAACTGGAACAACCGAAAACCTATTGTCAGGTTATGACCCTTTGTCATTCGATTTTAGCGCGGCAGCTACATTGGGTGCACACCTCCGTACGAAGCTGGAAGGTTAAACGAACCTTTCGATCGCCATGGGACCAACTTTACAGTCCGACGTTGATTAGAACACACTCCCCCCGACCACCTTTATACAACCACTATGAGGATTTTGCGCCACCGGACACATATCCGCTCTCCTTCTCCCCATCACCCGCCAATCCCCACCTAAAAGAGCTAAATCGGCTTTTGAGCAGCAAACCACAGCGGAGCTGGAGTGTCGAGTACTGCGGCTCCTCGACCCCCGAAGTGTATCCTTCCGACTATCTCCTTCAACTCCTTAGCTCTTTGGAGTACTGGAAGGGTCAGGCAATCTACAATAACGGCCGAGTCCGCCTTCTAGATCCCTCGACGGATCATCGCATGTCCATCGAGTCGTTTGAGTACTGGCGCATTGAAGCCACTTACATGACTCAAGAATTCTTCGATATCACTCAGCGGCGAAACCAAGAGAGGTGGGAAAAAACACAAAAGTGAAAGGGGAATATCGACTGAAGAGTCCCCAAAGAAGGCGCTGTCCACGGCGACTAACAACAATGAGAACAAGAAGACACGGAGCCCCCAAGATAGGCCTATTTCCTCAAGACTGCGGAGTCGTGCGAGCCAGTCCTTAACCACCGCTGCTGAACCAAGGCGGATATCCAAGACTAAATCGAAGAGCAAGATCCGAAACAAGGCGCGGAGCGGGCGGCGCGGGAGTACATACCATCACAAGCAGGGTGCGAAGCAGTCCTGATTTGTCCATCTTTCTTCGTCGCTTCAGCTACGGCCGTCCTTCTCGATCCCACCTTTTCTAATGTCGGCGTCTTGTTTCGAAGGATTATAAAGCTGCGCCACTGTGCGAGCTAACATACTGCTGAGGGGACAGAACGGACTTTTTAGATGAGTTTTCCACTTTCCGAAGGGTGCCCTACAGGTACTGTACAACGACGTCAGATCCGCGGGCTCTTGCGACCATATCAATTCTTGGCTCCCGACACTAGGCAGCTGTATTTTCGCCTCAATGACTATTCATACTACCTCAATGATGGAGGCTCAGCATTCGCATGGGCTGCAAAACATGAGATGAAGCTAACGGCTTGGCTATCGCTGTCGGGAGGCGCTGATATTGAAGCTTCACCCCAGGTGACGATATCAAAACCACTGACATGCTTGGGCTTCAAATTGACAAGATTCAGCTTACAACCTTTCAAGTTGCGCCATGCTACAAATCCGAGTCTATTGGAAGGTTGCTAATCGATCGCAGCGCTATCTCTTCGCTAAGCTGGAGTACTAGTCGTAGTGCATGTTAAACAAATAGGTATCTACAGCAGACAAATACCTACATAAGCAGACATCTACAACAAAGGCTTACTACTATCAGTCGCAATGGCGTTCGACCTCCGATCCTTCAAGGCCATCTTCTTCGCCATTAACGCCACGCCGATCGACTGGGAGTCCGGCATCTACCCATCTCTCCTGCATCTCAGCCAGCAACTGCCGGTCGGCGACGCGCCCGAGGGGGTGGTGCAGCACGAGAACCCGCAACTCGCGTACCCGCAGATTCTGGAGAAAGTGTACGAACGGATCGCTTCCGATCTTGGGCTCGAGGCCGACGAGAAAGACAGGGTGGCGTTCGGCCAGAGCATCGCGTCGTGGCCCGCGTTCCCGGAATGGTGGCCGCGATGCAGGTGCTGGCGCGGCACTACAAGCTTTTCGTCTTGAGCAATATGGGCGACACGTCGTTCTCGCGGAGGCCGGCGGGCCCGTTGCGCGGCGTGCACTGGGACGGCATATACACCGCGCAGCAGATCGGGTCGTATAAGCCGGGCGATCGGAATTATTTGTTTGTGGTGGACCGTCTCGGGAAAGATTTTGGCACCGCACAGGACGAGACGTTGATGGTGGCGCAGAGTTTGGACATCGACCACGTCTCGGCCAAGAGGCTTGGGTTCAGGCCTGCCGCCTGGATTGCACGGTATGCTGGGGAGGCGGCCATGGGGGGTGACCGTGAGGAATTGGAAAGAAAGGGCTTGATTGAACTGGGCGCTGTGTATGGGTCGTTGGGCGGCATGGCGCACGCGGTGGAGGAGGCTTTTTCAAATGAAACCGAAAATGCTTGAACAAATCCGTGCTGTACCTTCAACACATACTCGGTATGACACCCTGGCATATCAAGTACCTTGGGGTGGTCGGATGAGTTTGCCAGAACTCAACGGGTATGATCCTACCGATCATTTGCCCATGCTGTCGTAGATGTGATGGGTCTCCACCACGAGTCAGGATGGCAACAGCGCCCTGAATGGATGCAGGATCGGCCAGAGCTAGGGAAACACGCGGACCCCCTCGGACAGTCGAATCGAACAGTAGGACGATACGAAGGCCCTGTCAACCAGCTTATGGGTAGAGCGAACACGGGCTACCTTCGACGAGATTATACATAGCATGTGCCGTTGTTAGCTACCGGTACTGCCGAGGTTGCCTCGATCCGATCGAGCCGTCAAGGGAAGTTATCTTGTACAGATACATCGTCAACTAAATTGTTGCTACGTCGCGGAAGGATGGCTTCTCCAACGCCAAGAGTAATTAAGTCAGCACGGATACGAGTGATGAGGCTACGACGGTAATATCAGCTGATCACTCTCGTGGTCAACCGGACATACAAATTTGACTGTTTTACAAACCACTTATTTTCAAGATGCCATTCCTCCGCGTGGTTTGCGAAATGTACCTATAAAAGTCAGCAATCATGCGTCATGCAGAGAAGATGGTTTGCCCACACATACATCGAACGTCCGTAGTACTGCGGGCACCAATCTATACATCTCCAGATAACTTATGTTTTTTCCGATACAAGTTCGAGCTCCAGCGCCGAAGGGGAAAAGGTTCTGGCTCACCTCTGACGCGTTGGCGTCGTCGCGCTGCCCGACACGACCGGCGGCCGCGAGAGCGCCTTCCTCTAGGCCGAGTTCGGCTGTATCGAGACGTCTAGCCCGTCGAGTGGCGCCTTCATAAATGAGGGCTGCCTCACCCGCAACTCGTTCGTGCTCGATCCCTCCGTGATATTATGAGCACCCGTATGTAAATTCCGGCAGAATACCTGGTTGCGGTCTACCCCATCTGCTGGACATCGCCCTGGACGGTCGAGGCCTGCCTGATAATGAAAAGGTCCAGCGTCGCGTCCCTGAGGGTGGTGAACTGGAATGGATCGATATCAATACTTGATGGAATCGAAAGGGCTGTCTGATACTGGTCTGGAGGCTCTATCGTGGTAGACGAGATGCCAGGGTTTGGGTTGACCTGATTGGAGGCGGGCTCGTAAAGGCATTCTGTTCTGGTATCAGTTCGCCGCGAATGGTAGAGGAGCAGCGACCAACCGACTGCAGATCCCGCAGACGGGCACCGCCTTGTTGCACTTGCGCTTGTGATGCTTGCAGGGGGTACAGGCAATCAAGGCCACTCCGTATTCCATTTGTGCATCCATCCTCGTCGATCCAGCATATCTGGGACGTGGCTTTTCCTGCTCGATTTCGGTCGAGGAACAAGACTAGGAGTGGCCTCATCGACTCCAACGAACCTGATGCCATTCGGTGGAACCCCCACAGAAGAAAGTCGAGCAAACACATCGAAGCTGGCCAACGATGGCTCAAATTCGCCGACAAATTCGGTTGGTCGGCTCTAGGCCTGGTGACCCGGGACTGGTTCATTGGGGAGAACAAGGTGCTAGCCAATGACCGAATGTGAGTATGATGATTCTGTCTGCATTTCTGGGAAAATCCGGCTCACGGGGACAGTTCGAAGAGATCTTGGCAACATCGGAGCATGAAACACTGTTGGACGAAATAGAGTCTGTGAAAGGACGATTTCTGCGGTAGCTGAACAAGACTCTCGGTGGAAGCTTGTTTGACCTGCTGGAGGATTCGAGTCGCGCACAAGGATTGCCTCTGATGAAACTTGATGACCATGATATTATGACGCGGCCGGACTACGATTAATCGTGGATTAATGACTTTCACTTAGAAGGGAAATAGCAAGCGAAAACAAGCGAACTAGGTAATCTATAATAGAGATCTTATATATTGCAATACTCAAGCTAAAAGCCGAGTATAGGGTGATCTCATATTCCCACCTAGCTTATAGAAGGTGGATAACTCTTTGGCCCCCTATAACTCCTCTCTTCTGAAGTCGCCGTTCTATGACCCTATAGCAATGATCCGCCACTGTTCACCAGGACCGTCGATGATCCGCAACGGACCCTCCACCCATTTGTCGACTCACTTCTTGCTTAACGGCTTAGCATCTGGACTAAGCTCGGGGGAGCCACCAAATTCCCAATCCAGATCCTCGCCAAAGCGCTTCGGCACGTTTTCAGGACCGAGGTCATAGCATAAAACCGTTGCACACTCACGATGACTAAGAACTGCTATTTTCCTTATGGTTGTAGGTTTAAACTAGAGGGTTATAAATCTCTAGATAGTAGGGAAGAAGTTCGGAGCACTAATAATCTATTTCGGTGTGATTAGCGTTATATAACGTAGTAAGAGATAATATATTCCTTTTATAGAGAGTGGAACATCGAGAAATAAATATTCGGACTTCTTTTTACGGTCTCTGGATAGTGAAGCTATCGCCATAGTGCTAGCAGTACTAAGAAGCTTCCGTAGCCTCTAGAAGGTTGACACGCTAACGTGCGATAAATCGATAATATTGATCGAGGTATTGATACGTTCGTGCTATAACTTTCCGCATAATGGCTACACAAATTATGTCACGTATTCGGCGGCAAGGAAGATACTTGACAATACCGGGTCCGTCTTATGCAATGCAATGATATCGTCTGCTTTGACTTAAGACACAATATATACCATGATAGATACTCCGGTAGTATCTCGATGGCTAGTCCATTGAGGTTACTAGATTTATCTGTCTGAGTTGTTGCGTTACTAAACGGGAGCTCAGCGTTGGTCCGTACCAGTCGTCTAACAGTCTCAAATCTCGTAATGTCGACATCATCATAAGTCTTCTCTAGCTGGATATCATGTCGCCACTTTACCGATGCAGCATATTGCTTAAATGCGGCATGGACGTCGTGTTTCCGTGCTCGTAAGTAACGCCTAGGTCGAAGTCAGGCCCAAAGGGGCTGGACCACCACCAGGTAGAACCTAGAAAGATAGAACGCCTCCACTTACAAAAGATTTGACTCCTCGAAATTGTCATCCGAGGTATATTCTCGCACCAGTTCGCTCTTTGGCTAGGTTACAGAACTTCTGCGACATAGTTCTTTAAGTTCTACAAGTGCTCTTTCCTCGCGCTCGACGGCGGATTCAGTGTGGGAAATGGACTTCTGGGATGCATTGGTCCTCGCCCTGCTCAGAGAGGCAGTACTTATCGTTCTGAACATTTCAACCAAATATCAAGGGACGTTGGGGTTTGGAGTTAAGATTCGTTACGCACGGTGAGACTTCGAAAGGCAGCCATCAGACCTCCTACCAATTAACGTTGAAGTTGATGGATAGAGTGACGTATTCCTGTACTCACGACCGCAATGCTTACGCCTCTTCGCAAGGTCACGTAGTGACTCCGGACCTAGCCCAAATAATTCGAGGATAGGCTTTGCCACTTAGAGCTACGCTCAACCTTCGACAGCGGCCGAGAGACATCATCCCCATGAAACTAACTTGGCGTAGCACGGTCGATATGAGAGCGCATGCTCTCCCTGCGACACCTAAGGTTCCCTGCTAAAGATACCGCGAACGAGCGGAGTCACCAACAGGCCTAGCTGCACGGTTTATCAGCCTTCAATAACAAGAAGGCAGACACGAGGTGTAAATCAACGATAGCAAATATCCTTACAAGATTCGCCGTATATCCGACCATCAACTCACCTCCTCACCTCCCCGGTTGACGACCCAGCACCAGAAAACTACCCCTCCAAGCCGCAGATGAGACCTAAGAGTTTGAGTGGTAGTTACAATGCATCACGAAAGGCCCGTGGCGAAAGAGGGGACAAGCAGTCAGGCTTAGAAGACAGTGGAAATTGCTGTGATGACGGAAGAGTAAATATCCTCCATACAATAGGGCTGTGCACCCCTATCACTAAGCAAGCCAGACCAATTAGTTACCTAATGGGTATAGAACCGGAGCATTATGAAAGCAGAGCGTCTAGACGATGGGTTAACGCTTTGAAACGGTATATATTGACTATGTCCTCGCAATGTAAAAAGGGTCCGAAGGTCTACGGGAACGGAATGTTTCGTGAATCAGCAGACACCACCTATGAGGGAGTGGGCATCAGTATGAGCCTCCGAAGGCAAGATCAGAGACCCGACGGCCTAGGAATTTGTATTTTTACCTCGAGATCATTGTGATTATAATCCTAAAGGAACGTCGGAGGTAAGTCTCCCTCGTCTACGAAATACTGGATACAACGGCAGAAATATAGCTCTAGTTAGATCCGTAACTAAAATTCAGGCTAACTAAAAGAGTGTCAGAAAGGGAAACTCCAACTAAAAGCTATCCAATATCCTTCTGAGTTCGCTGCTCACACCCAATTACGACATCTTGCGTCTTCTTCCTTTTCACCGACAATAAGAATGCTGCTCAAGGTGACTTGAGGTATTGGGTATTCTAGCTTTCTATTAACATTATCAGATTCCCCTTCAAATGTTCTGTAACGCATGGGCAGCATTAGAGCCCGAGTCGCGTCTTGGGTGGATTTCTTATCTATGCAGAGCGATCAGTTGCACAAAATCAATCACTCACCACGAAGACTAACAAAGTACCTCTACTGGTGAAGGATAGCTCGGAAGATAGGCACCAACGGCTATCTAGCCTATTGAAGAAATCTTCGCACTTCAACCCCGAAAGCCTGGTCAAGAAAACCATCACTGTCAAAAGCAATGACGACTTTGGCGCAATTTGGCACTTAGTGTTATACTACCGGCCTGGTAATGTTCTTCAAGGTCGGTTGCAAACCCCAAAGATGAACCAGGACCTCATTCTGCAACCGTGGCACCTACCAAGACATCCAATACCGTACGGAAACTCGTACGACGGCCACCGAGCTAGGGAAAGCAGCTTATCGCCAATGACACACCTCTGGGACCCTTCCCATCATGCTCAACCAGACTGGCCCATATTGACAGAGTCTGACCGTTACCACCTCGATTCCTGCCAGGATCCGTTTTCAAAACTTGTGTTTTTCGATAACGCTGCCATGCCTTGGTCGATTGACGGCGCGTTGGATCCAAGCCTGTTCCAGTATGACATATACACTACTGACGACAGTTTTGTCTAGTAGCGCCTCAATCCAGACCGCTGTCGCCAAGATACGATATGCGGAAGACAAAAGAGAGGCATAGACGGCGTTAGAATTAAGGCGGAGGGGTCCCGGAGGAGGGCATAGCTCGATGCTGAAGGTCCCAGCAAAGGTT